GGACGTGGCTCTTAATGAAATTTATGATCTTAACAGCATCCTGAAGCACATCGTTCAATTCTGGTGCTAAGTTTTTTGCTGCAAGAGCCTCTCGGTGAATAAGGCAGTGAGTAAAAGTTATATGATCATAATGAGCAGCTTGAAAAAATGATTTAAAACCAATATTTTTGCCCGTCATCGCTCTTGCACCATCTGTGCATATTCCACAGCAATTTTTCCATTCGAAACCTTCTGCTTTTAAAAATTCGTCAACTTTACAATATATTCCCTGTAGTATGGTCTTTTCCATAGGACGACAAATAACACTTCTTCCTCCACGCTTTCTTTATAAACGTACCGTGACATATACTAACTGAGCCAATTTTAGTATATCAGTTGTTTCGTCCAACTGAATTGAAAAATTTGGGCTTTCTTTAATTCTTGTAATAAGTTGTATTAATTGATCCTTGTTAATATCAGAAATTCTATTCGAGACGTGTCGTTCGACCAAAGGAATTTTTTCGAATATCATCGCCATATTTTTCTTCCAGGTAGTATTTCTACCATTTTAATAGCAGCAGGTAACACAAGATCTTCTCCAATGGTGAACGGCTTTTTATTTTTAGCAATACAGTATGAAACTTCATATGACGCTAGTAATATTTTTCATTAACAGTTATAAGTTTTTCAAAGATTTTCTTTTTCTTTATTTAAAGATTTCAACAGCTTTCAAATATTCTTTTGGTTTATTGACATACGAAACATGCTTTGGTTCAGATGTCTTTTTTAATTTTGATGGTTTCATACTCTCCGAAGCCAATAATTCATTGCAGATCAAACAAAGAGGTTGTTCATTCCCTCACAATTTTGAAATGTAAAGCCAAATTGAAGAAAAGACTCATCATATTTTCTTTTTCGCACATTAGATGCCTGTTTCCAATACTTTGTCCTGCCTGAGAAGAGTTTGTAGCATATCATCTGCGTCATTACCATTCTTCTTTAAGTTCAGCCATTTATCCATGGCCAAAAATTATTTTTGATCCTAAAATAAAATAATATATAAAAATAACATATTGCAGATAATAATTGATTTATTAATTACCGAATAAATAAAAAAAACTAAAATCTTGTTACGGGGGACACTGACAATAGACCACACTAGAAGAGCGTCAGCACTCCACTAATTCACACTGCAGTCAGTGTAGGCTAGTTTACACAAGCGTTTTAGTCAATGCGAGTTACGGAATGTTATGAAAGTTCGCTTAAAAAGCATAAAATTCACAAATTTTTCAACGGGTTTTACAAGTATTTATGCGAGCTTTTTTAAAAGAGCCCCACAGACCGGTTTGGTTAATGCGTATTTGCCAGCGCGTGTATTGAATCATTGTTTAGCTGCAGGTTGCACGTGTGTACGCGCGCGCATTCCTCCCTTGTGGGAAGTCAGCGGCACGCGGTTTATTCAACATGTATGATACCGACAAACGCACTAACAATGTATAGCCACAGTATAATAATAGCGATCATCGATCGTTTACTGCTGTCGATGGAGATAGCTCAAAACCTTCAACAAATGCGCGTGTCTAGACGCTGCAAGTCCACTGTATTCCGTCAACTCTAGTGATGGTATAAAATGGTATTTATATATTATATATAAATATTTGACATTAAAATCTCTCGCGACCCCAGAATTTTGCTACGCGACCCCAAATGGGGTCGCGACCCATAGTTTAAGAAGCCCTGATCTAGGGAAAGTCCAGCTAGTGTTCTACCATTCCCTGCGGGTTTAGTTTCCCCAAAATTATGCAATAATGCCTGTTCATTTTTTCATTTTGTGTGGAATGTTGCCTAGTCAGAAAAATGAACAAATTAGCAAAATTATCATCTTTCAACTGTACTGCAGAGCAAAACTGAAATCGCTTGCCTTTGTCTTGTAGATGTAAGTTGTTAACTAATCGCAGTCTATTCTATCTCATGCGTAATTTTTTACCGACAAACTCCATACAGTCATTGGTGACATTTTAACATGAAACAATACTGTAAATAGCAGCTTGACATTCTGTTATAGTTCAAATATATGTTCAAAGCAATTGTTCCCTTTAATTATTTCACGACGAAGCAGGAATTCCTTCAAAAAAGTCGTACCACAGTGTCTCCTATCGCTAACAAATCCTACTAGAACATAAAGTCATTATAAAGCAAAAAATATGGCGATTTGTTTATAAAGACAGTTGGAGTGCAACAAAAAGAGAGCATATGAAATGGGCGACATTGTATTTTAATAATGAAGAACTGTTATTCTCATGGTTGCGAAAGTTCAGCGCATTATATTTGACAACTTCGACTGATGGGGTTGCGGTACTATTTCTCTCTGTGTCGCCACCAAGGCTGTTCTGAGTATGCTGACGAAAGCAGTTTTTGTTTTCATAGATCTGGCAATATTGCGTGAAGCGCGCGAATGAAAGGATATTCAAATATATCGTCTCTTAAATGTGTTGGTTATGGATGAATTGTTCTCTAGGACCGAACTTTCTCGTGAGAAAGTTATATTGCTGACATATATTTTTTCTCAGGGAGAAAGTTATGACAGTACCATTCTTCAAAGCAGCATTGGTGATGAAATAACTTCGTCCAAAACAGTCGACTCAGGCAAACACAGTTCGCGAAGCTGGCTTCCGCGCGTAAGCTCAACCCCAGACTATGTCGTTAGCGATTTTCACAAGCGTCTAGCCCCTCAGACGCTAGTTTCCTCCCGGTTCCTCCCTGAACATCTGCGCAGATTAATGCGCATGTCGTCATTTCCCTGAAGGCGCGTCGTATTTACTCTTATTTACTCCTACTCTTTGCTCTGCTGTGGTAAAGTGTGATTGATGATACAGTTCTCTTTTTTTTTATTTTGCTTCGATTATTATATCTTTTGCATAAAATCAAAAAAAATTTCATGGCCAAATACTTCTGTTTTCCCAGAAGGTATTTTTGATTCTGCGAATCAAATCAGAAGGTGTAATCTGGTGTGATAATTCTGATTGTGTTGTGAGTGATATTGTTCATTGTGCAAAGATTTTAGTAGCTGAGAGTGATTTTTGTTTCCCTGTGTTAGAATTTCAACTTTTTTTAATTAACAATTTAAACATACATTTCTTAACTTATTTTCATATGCATTTCACTCTTTTAATTAATCAATTTAAACATATTTTCTTAACTTTTGTTTCAATATGTAAGAATTTCACCTTTTTTAATTATAATTTAAAACAAATATTTCTTTTTTTTTGATTTTGTTTCCTTTGTTAGATTTCACTTTTTTTTAATAATCAATTAACATACATTCTATTAACGTATTTTTCAAATGCAAGAATTTTCAAATCTTTTAAGGAATCAATTAAACATCTATTTCTTAACTTTTGTTTTCACCCCACCCCCCCCCCCCCCCCCCCCCAACCCCCCCCCACCCCCCCCCCCCCCCCCCCCCACCCCCCAACAATATGCAGAATTTCATCTTTCTTTTTTAATTAGTCAATTTAAACATATATTGCAAAATGAAGGTACTTACCCCCTAGACGACATTTCTTGTATAATCTTTGTCTTCTTAATTTATATATGTGTATCCCATGAGTGTGAAAGTTTCACTTTTTCTAAAAAAAAATGTGTATCCAGGTGCTCTCAAAGTTTAACTTTTTCACAAGAAACTGTATATCCAATCACTTAAAAAATTTCATTTTTTCACAAGAAAAAGTGTTATAGATCCATTTCTTGTTAGTGTATCCAATATATTGTTTCACTTAACTGCACTCTTATAATAGATCGATGCCTGTTCATTAGATCTGAAAAAGAACAATTTTTACTAGGATTTTTGCATTTTTATGTTAGAAATGATTCCATTTTCACATCACCTTAGAGACACGCACTTAAAAAAAGAAAGGGGAGGGGGGGAATGGAAAATCGTTTCTTTTGCTATTTGACTATTAGAACTGACTATAATTAGAGTTTTTATATATAAGATTTAGATGAATTGTTTATAAAAAATATTTATTTGGATATTATGATATAATTTCCTTAAAAAAATAGGCACTATCTGTTTTCAAATTACTTAAGTGCAGGTTATGATAACTTTTAATTAAATCTAAATTTGATAAAAAATTGGAAACACTAAAGAATGTGATTAACGATACTAGTTAAATAAAATAGTTAAAAATAATCCAAATTTTTAAGCTAGTACGTGTAAGACCAGGAAGTAGGAATCCTGATGCGTTTTTTAAGAGGTTTCACCATGAGCCATAATCCTCCAATTTTAAATGTGCACATATATTTTCCATTCAGCACCACATTTTGCATTTTTCAGCAATATTACTTGGCAGTTCATTATTTGCAGTTTCTTGTAGAGCAAATTAATCTTTTGTAGTCTTGTAATATCATACGTTTTCTAGCACTAAATAATAATTATGCATAGCAATAACTCAGATGTATTTTCTGAAAGAAAAACCTGGCTATACCCCCAGGCCCTGGGTGTTCCATTCGAGTTCATTTATCGATCTGCGTCTTTCCTTGACTAAGTGGCAGCAAATTCTAATTTTTGAAGTTCCTAAAGAAAATATCCGTATTATACATATTTATAATACAAGATAACTAAAACAAGGTTTTAAATGTCATGAGTATCGAGATTTCTGTGGTGGCATCAGTTGCTCAGTTCCTTCGCTTTCAGGTGTGGGCCCATCAGTTGTGTTAACTCGGATGTGTTTCCTGAAAGAAAAACCTGGCTATACCCCCAGGCACTGGGTGTTCCACCTGAGTTCATTTATCGATCTGCGTCTTACCTTGACTAAGTGGCAGCAAACTCTAATTTTTGAAGTTCCTAAAGAAAATATCCATATTATGCATATTCAAAATACAAGATAAGTAAACAAGATTTTAAATTTCATGATCGTCGAGATTTCCTGTGGTGGCAGCAGTTGCTCAGTTCCTTCGCTTTCAGGTGTGGCCCCCGCATCAGTCGTTTCAACTCGGATGTGTTTCTTGAAAGAAAAAACCTGGCTATACCCCCAGGTACTGGGTTTGTCATCCGAGTTGATTTCTCCATCTGCTTCTTCCCTCGTCTAAGTGGCAGCAAAATGTTATTTTTGAAGTCCCTAAACAAAATATCCATATTATGCATATTCAAAATACAAGATAAGTAAACAAGATTTTAAATTTCATGATCGTCGAGATTTCCTGCGGTGGCAGCAGTTGCTCAGTTCCTTCGCTTTCAGGTGTGGCCCGCATCAGTCGTTTCAACTCGGATGTGTTTCTTGAAAGAAAAACCTGGCTATACCCCCAGGTACTGGGTTTGTCATCCGAGTTGATTTCTCCATCTGCTTCTTCCCTCGTCTAAGTGGCAGCAAAATGTTATTTTTGAAGTCCCTAAACAAAATATCCATATTATGCATATTCAAAATACAAGATAAGTAAACAAGATTTAAAATTTCACGATCGTCGAGATTTCCTGTGGTGGCAGCAGTTGCTCAGTTCCTTCGCTTTCAGGTGTGGCCCGCATCAGTCGTTTCAACTCGGATGTGTTTCTTGAAAGAAAAACCTGGCTATACCCCCAGGTACTGGGTTTGTCATCCGAGTTGATTTCTCCATCTGCTTCTTCCCTCGTCTAAGTGGCAGCAAAATGTTATTTTTGAAGTCCCTAAACAAAATATCCATATTATGCATATTCAAAATACAAGATAAGTAAACAAGATTTTAAATTTCATGATCGTCGAGATTTCCTGTGGTGGCAGCAGTTGCTCAGTTCCTTCGCTTTCAGGTGTGGCCCGCATCAGTCGTTTCAACTCGGATGTGTTTCTTGAAAGAAAAACCTGGCTATACCCCCAGGTACTGGGTTTGTCATCCGAGTTGATTTCTCCATCTGCTTCTTCCCTCGTCTAAGTGGCAGCAAAATGTTATTTTTGAAGTCCCTAAACAAAATATCCATATTATGCATATTCAAAATACAAGATAAGTAAACAAGATTTTAAATTTCACGATCGTCGAGATTTCCTGTGGTGGCAGCAGTTGCTCAGTTCCTTCGCTTTCAGGTGTGGCCCGCATCAGTCGTTTCAACTCGGATGTGTTTCTTGAAAGAAAAACCTGGCTATACCCCCAGGTACTGGGTTTGTCATCCGAGTTGATTTCTCCATCTGCTTCTTCCCTCGTCTAAGTGGCAGCAAAATGTTATTTTTGAAGTCCCTAAACAAAATATCCATATTATGCATATTCAAAATACAAGATAAGTAAACAAGATTTTAAATTTCATGATCGTCGAGATTTCCTGTGGTGGCAGCAGTTGCTCAGTTCCTTCGCTTTCAGGTGTGGCCCGCATCAGTCGTTTCAACTCGGATGTGTTTCTTGAAAGAAAAACCTGGCTATACCCCCAGGTACTGGGTTTGTCATCCGAGTTGATTTCTCCATCTGCTTCTTCCCTCGTCTAAGTGGCAGCAAAATGTTATTTTTGAAGTCCCTAAACAAAATATCCATATTATGCATATTCAAAATACAAGATAAGTAAACAAGATTTTAAATTTCATGATCGTCGAGATTTCCTGTGGTGGCAGCAGTTGCTCAGTTCCTTCGCTTTCAGGTGTGGCCCGCATCAGTCGTTTCAACTCGGATGTGTTTCTTGAAAGAAAAACCTGGCTATACCCCCAGGTACTGGGTTTGTCATCCGAGTTGATTTCTCCATCTGCTTCTTCCCTCGTCTAAGTGGCAGCAAATAGTTATTTTTGAAGTCCCTAAACAAAATATCCATATTATGCATATTCAAAATACAAGATAAGTAAACAAGATTTTAAATTTCATGATCGTCGAGATTTCCTGCGGTGGCAGCAGTTGCTCAGTTCCTTCGCTTTCAGGTGTGGCCCGCATCAGTCGTTTCAACTCGGATGTGTTTCTTGAAAGAAAAAAATGTTATTTTTGAAGTCCCTAAACAAAATATCCATATTATGCATATTCATAATACAAGATAACTAAACAAGGTTACGATAATGAAAACATAAGTTAGCGTATATATAAACACTTTTATTAAATGTTTTAATATTTTTTCTAAAAGTGTTCTTTCTGTTGTTTAGTTTTAATCTTTTGTTAACTACATACTCTTTTTAACTAGAAAATAATAATTGAACATAGTACAAAAATACACAATTACCACAAAAGGGTGGCAAGTTTAAGAAGTTAATAATGTAAGATTGAATCCTTATATTTAAAATAATAAATAAACGGTAAAATTAAAATAATAAACGTAGTATGAAAATACATAATTAAAATAAACAGGCTGGAAACATTAAAAGTAATGAATTCACCTGTATATTTTCTGACTGAAGATTCATTTCTTTCCATGATTCATTTCTCATTTCTGCAATATTCTTTACCTGAAAGGGGTGATAAATTATCCTTAACAATAAAATGTTTTCTGGTAAGAAGTAGGCTGGAAACCTTTAAATTAATCAACTCACCTCTATGTTTGTCAATTTATCTGTCAAAATTAGTTTTCTTCTTTCTTTTATTTATTTTTTTGGATTACCTAATTTGCAATAAAGTTTTTTTTTTACTGAAAAATAAGTAGGTAAACTTATACTAATAATAACTAAATAAATTTTACAGTTGCTTTTACTGAAGGAGTAGTATTAAAATAAAGTGAAGCACTAATTTGAAACATAAGCTGTGAATGGTTAAAATTTTGTCTTACCTCTGTCATAGTATTTCATGACATTTTGGATCTGCAGCTGTGAAAGAAAGTTTATTTTAATGAAGGAATAACAAAATATATAAAGAATAGCTCTCACGTCAAAATAAAAGTTGAGAATAACTGAAATACACATTTACCTCTTTCTGTAAAAGATATGCAACATTTTCGCAACATTTCCATCCTTTTGTTTTCTGGGCTCTGTTTTTTGGTTGAATTCTAAAAGGAAATAAAAAATAACAATTTCATGTAGTGAAAAACAAAAAGGTATTAAATCAAAATTTGTGGACCATCTGAACATTTACACAAATTATAGTAAACAATTTACTTGTATGCTTTTCTTATCATTTATTCCAGTTTTAAAACTTGGTCTGTGTTCCCTTACTCTGAAAAATAAGCACATAGATTATAATGGTATGTAATTTAATATTTAAATGCAATTTTTGTATGTATATATATGTAAATAAATAAATTATGTCAAAAATAAAGTTATATTTGTTGGTTTTACCCCATTTATCATCATCTTCCTGAATGAATGGTATATCATCATCTTGTCGGGCTGATTTCTTTGGAGGCATCAGGTCCTCAATTCCTTCGCTTTCTGATGTTGGTTCGTCCAACATTTTAAGTTCAAGGCCGACTTTTCCATGGCCTGGATACACAGCTTTAATGTCCTGTAGAAACTGAGCAAGTCTTTCTCCATCATAAGTAAAGGGCTTCAAGCGGAACCGCCTGTAATAATGTACAGCCATGTACTGCGTGCAAATATCATCTGTTCTCTTGCTCTTTATAGACCTCTTAAAAAGTTTGTTTTCACCCTCAAGATCATTTATAGTGTTCTGTTTATCATCGGGATCTACGAATACGCCTGTAAATAAAGGATTAATGAATGTTAAGGATGAAAAAAAAAATGTCACTCATTAAAAAAAAAAGACACATATTTACCTTTCTTGTGATTGGTAGTTTTATGTGTTGCTGCCGGAAATAAATTTTCTATCCTTTTATATTGTGGAGCAGAGTCAGTGTATATGAAGGTGGTTTCTGGGTGAACATGACGTTTAATGTAAGGCCACAAATGCCTTTTGCTTTTTCCTTTAACCTTGAAAAATAATCCTTCTTTGTCTTCTCGACAGTAGATGCCTAAAACTACGATGGTCATATTTTTGGTTACCCTGCCGCGGTTGTACTTGCGGCGGGTCAAAAATGTTTCATCAATTAATATAGATTTTCCTTTACCACCTAACATTCTGCTATGATGAGAGGCAAAAATTTCGCATACCTCACGACAATATGATAAAAAGTCAACAATAGTCTCATTTGCAATTACTGGTAATTTTTGCTTTTCCCTCCATAGCTTTAGCTGCTGATTTATGTAGCTGAAACTGTGATCTAGAACAAAGTACACAGTTATGACTAAAGCTTCCCTTATTGGGATTTTTGTACCTTCAAAAAATGTGTTTTCAATGGGGTTAATCATGCCAGAGCAGTTGTTGCGATTTCTCAGGCTGCAGACCCAACGCCATCCCAGCTTTGATTCCTTTCTCTTGTTGCTTCTCATCGGTGCCTGGCACTTGGGGCAAGGTGGTGCCTCATCCTCTCTGGGAAGAAGTCCAGCATCGGTGGCAAACTCGAGTGCAGCTGCCTCTGTATTAATTAAATGCATGTCAGTAATTAAACAGAAATATTTCAGTTTTTCATGCAAAGAAGCCATATTCAAAAAAGTCAGTACAGTGACAGAAATAGTTTAATGAAATTTATTGTTAGAAATTTCAGAAACTTGGCAATTATGCAAAAGTCAAAACTATCAGAAATAAAAAAGTTTAATAAAGATGAAAAGTAATTATAAGTTTAATTAAACAATATTAGTTCATTATAGGAAGATAGAGAAGTGAAAAGTTCAAACTAGAAAGTACTGTTACAAAAAAAAAAAAAAAAAAAAAAAAAAAAGGAAAATAAAAATAATAGTAATGATATGTATCTATGAAAACAAAGTATTAAAACAAATTTCAAGTGAAAAATAATATTAAAAAATGTAATGGATGAAAATAGATTAAAAGTAAACTTAGCTTTGGCAAAGTCCAAACCACGTTTTCACGTAAGTACCGAGGTACTGATTTTTTTCAGTACCTGACAGACAGACAGACAGCTGCACGGGCTTAACCGCGGCAAAATATGATCGCGAAAAATCTTCTTTTTTAAATTTATTTAAAATATTTTCGAAAAAAAATATTTTTTTACTTTACAAATAAATGTTTTTCGGTACATATGTTTTTTTAAAACATTTTTAAACAGAGATGCAGAAGAATAATAGGTATTGTTATTTTTGTGTGCAGATATGCGTGCGTGATGAACTAAAAAAAATGATTTTGAAGGTTTCGTGGCATATTTATCCTCTCAAAAATATGCAACTTGCTCAACTTTTCGATTTTATTAAATTAAATAAGGCCTATCGATTTTTTTTTTTTTTTTTTTTTTTTTTTTAAAGCACTGACAATGAAAGCTGTTATGTTCTATTTTTGCGTTTTTATCCCAAAGCGCGTTAGCCCAGAAGGGCTATTAATTTCGTTTTCGCATTTTGCGTTGAACTGTTTCTACCGAATATTATCGCTGTGTGTTATATTTAAAGATATTTAATAATAAAGAATCAGCATAAATATACGTATGTTTAACGTACATAACATTTATGCAGATACTGTGATAAAACAACGGTACCTACAGCTATGAAATTTTGAATATGTACGTCACCACCCGAATATGGGCATCTGAAAGCTCAAATTTGTAATTTGTTTTATTAACTATTTAACATTTTGTAAAGCATTTATGTGTTTTTGATTAAGAAACTCGACGATTTCTAAGCGAGCAATGGCAACACTGTTCGGCGCAAGACTGTCTATCGGAAATTCTAAAGATATGCTCTTCTTTTAAATGTTTTGTCATATTGCTGCTTAAGAGAGAAGACAGTTCGGATGTACAAAATTTAAAGACCGCATGTCTGTTGATTTTGAAAATTCATTTCCATTGAATTTAACAATTGTTTTCAGTTGGCGAGAGGTATACATCTCTGTTGTACACTATTATTGGTAACCTTTAATTGTTGGTTATTTGTTACATTTTTTTGTCTTTCATATTGCCCTGGCTGCATTGGAAATTTCGTGGTTTTCCTCGTGTGTATACGAGCCAGTACAATTACACTAATGAATCATATCACTTAAATAATGTGAATAATTATAGAATTATTATATAAGTGTAGAATAATTGGGTTGGTTGTTATGTTCACGAGTTGTGTGTAAATGCGTGGCTTTGTGTGATTATGTAATTAATTAATGAAGATTTCAGCAGCGGCCTGGCGGTAAAGTGTGTGAGCACTGGTAGTTCTGTCCGAAGTTCGAATCCCGCTAATGCGCCGGTTGCTTGTTATGTTCACGAGTTGTGTGTAAATGCGTGGCTTTGTGTGATTATGTAATTAATTAATGAAGATTTCAGCAGCGGCCTGGCGGTAAAGTGTGTGAGCACTGGTAGTTCTGTCCGAAGTTCGAATCCCGCTAATGCGCCGGTTGCTTGTTATGTTCACGAGTTGTGTGTAAATGCGTGGCTTTGTGTGATTATGTAATTAATTAATGAAGATTTCAGCAGCGGCCTGGCGGTAAGTGTGTGAGCACTGGTAGTTCTGTCCGAAGTTCGAATCCCGCTAATGCGCCGGTTGCTTGTTATGTTCACGAGTTGTGTGTAAATGCGTGGCTTTGTGTGATTATGTAATTAATTAATGAAGATTTCAGCAGCGGCCTGGCGGTAAAGTGTGTGAGCACTGGTAGTTCTGTCCGAAGTTCGAATCCCGCTAATGCGCTGGTTGCTTGTTATGTTCAGGAGTTGTGTGTAAATGCGTGGCTTTGTGTGATTATGTCATTAATTAATGAAGGGTTCAGCAGCGGCCTGGCGGTAAAGTATGTAAGCACTGGTAGTTCATCTCATTACACATATACTAGCTACGCATATATACATTATAGACAGTGGTGTAACTAGAATTCTTGGTCCCGTATGCAAAATAATTTCCTGGGTCCCTAAACCAATAAATTTAATGTGCTTAAAAATAAAAATTAAACTAAAGAAAAAAACGTGAAAAGTAAAAAAAAAAAAAAAAAAAATCAAGGATTCCTGGAGCCAATGTTTTCATGATTTTTATCACATCTGGATTAATTGTTAAAAAATAAAAGCACGTTCTCAGGGAACCATTTGAAAGTTATGTAATATGAAGAAAGAATAAAAAGGAAAATATTTCCCCTTTGCTAACTGGTGAAATGCAAATTTGCTTTAGTCTGGGTATTTGACGTCAGATGATTTTAATTCTGTAATTTAAGACTTTTTGTGTGCGTGCGTGTGAGTGATAGATAATTGATATTGACAGACAAGATAATTGATAAACGTACAGAAAAAATATTACATCAATAGATAGTACTCTGTGATTTTACTCAACTTACGAACATAATTTATGCAATAATATACAAGTACATTTGTTAAATATAAAACATATTTATCATAAACTTCATAAAGAAAACTATTTGAATATACAATTTTAGTAGAAAATATGTAATATTTTTGCTGTCCTTTTAAAAATCCTTTTGGTACACTAAACTACTTGAATACATCATTTTTATAAAAAAACATGAATGCTAAAGATTTTTCCTGTTTCTTTTTAATTTTCCCTCAGCCCGTACTGCTGTTCTTCTCTAATTCCCCCCCCCTCAATAAGTGTAATTATAACACTGGTGACCGAAATTCATCATAAAGACAAAAATCTTTTTTATTAAAATTTGCGTCTCCTAACCTTCATTTCCGCAAAATTATTTATCAATACCTGGACGTCCATTTTCACAGCCAAGTCAACTTCAACGCTCAATAGTGATAGGTTTAACAACCGATCTTGTATCATAGTGTTTCTTAAATATGTTTTTTATTATTGAAAATGACCTCTCGCTCGTGGCTTTGGTTACAGATAATGAATGATAAATACAATATAAGTTAATTGCACTCCCGATTAACTGCTTGTCATGTCATAGTATTTTACCATTGCTAATTTAGCTAAATCCTTAACGGATTTCAAATTTTGGATATCTGTTCTGAAAGTATTTATAAATAATAAAAGTTGTACTTCCAGTACATTAGCAAAGTCTTCTTTATATTTTTTTCTGTATTTTTGAAACATTATTAATAATTTCCGTATTTGTTAACAATGACAAATATTCGTGATTTTCCGCATGTGTAACGTTTATGAAGTATGTTGTGGATGCATATGTGAATAAAGCGGGCGCAGCCCGCTTAGACCGCTGAACACTGGTAATTCGGTCCAACGTTCAAATCCCGGCTAACGGGCTGGCTGAATGCGTGTTTTCTTGATTTTCCGCATGTGTATGATGTTTGCAGTATCTTCTGGATGCATACGTGAATAAAGCGGGTGCAGCTCGCGCAAAACCGTTTAACGCTGGTAGTTCGGTCCAACTTTCGAATCCCGGAAAACAGGCTGGGTCCATGGGTGTTTGGGTGATTTTACGTATGTGTACCGTGTATGCAGTATCTTCTGGATGCATAGGTGAATAAAGCGGATGAATCCCGCGAAAAACCGTTGAACGCTGGTTATTCGGTCCAACTTACGAATACCGGCTAGCGGGTTGGCTGCATGGGTGTTTTCGTGATTTTACGCATGTGTATTGTGTGCGGAGTATCTTCTGGATGAATACGTGAATAAAGCAGGCGTAACCCGGTCAAAACCGTTAAACGCTGGTAGTTCGGTCCAACTTTTGAATCCCGGCCAACAGGCTGACTCTATATGTGTTTCAGTGATTTTCCACATGTGTATTGGGAATGCAGTATCTTCTGGATGCACAAGTGAATAAAGCGGGCGCAGACCGCGCAAATCCGCTGAACACAGGTAGTTCGGTCCAAAGTTCGAATCCCGGCGAGCGGGCTGCCTGCTTAGGTGTTTTCGTGATTTTACGCATGTGTGACGTGTATGCAGTATCTTCTGGATGCGCACGGGAATAAAGCAGGGGGAACCCGCGCAAAACCGCTGAACCCTGGTAGTTCGGTCCAACTATGGCATAACGGTGATATTTAACATAGGAACTCTTATACACGTCAACAATTAAAAGCGGGCTTCAGCCCGCTAGTTATTAATAATTTCCGTATTTGTTAACAATGACAAATACGGAAATTTAAGTTCCAAAAATGAAAACATCATTGCGATTTTTGTTATTCCAGTCATTCTGTATTTTAACTGAGTATTTAAAATGTCGAGAGCAGCATAAAAAACTGTTACTTTAAAAGACATTTCGGAATTTTCAAGCCTGTTATCCTCACATAACTCATCAATATTTTCTTCTATTTTTCAAATTTAGTTTCTATGTCCCATTTATTTTATATACAAAAATTTGTATATAAATTTGTATATTTGTATTTTTGTGAATATACAAGAATTGTATATTCAAAACTCTGCTTCTTTCATAATGTCTTCAAACTTCTTTCTCATATCTTGCATATTAATAGAAACGCTTTTTACATGTTGGTGAGCTCCATTCAAGTCGATTGATTTTCGATTGTCGAGTCGATTGATTGATTGATAGATCCTGCAGATACAGCGCAGGACGTGTTTAAAAAATTTTGTTTTTAATTTTTGGCATTTTGCCAGAAATGTTTAATAATTTGTAGTTAAGCTCATCGACACAACGTATATTTCAAGATGAGAACTCACACTCTGTCACATGGATTTTAAAAGTAGTACACATAAATACTTGTTTTATACTTCCCTAAACAAGTATAACGTTTAGTTAAAATAAAGTTGTATGAAACAAGTTTTGCGTACTTTGCAGAGAAATGCGCAAAACTTCATTTAATGAAAATAGGTTTGTGGTGGATCAAAAAGCAAAAATCAGTTAGGTTATGCGGATATATTTTAGGAGCATTAATATTTATGATTATTGTTATCTGCTTTATTTGCATCTTGAAAAACTATTAATGTCTCGGAAATTAATGACCTCAGATTTCCAGTTTTTACGCTGCTTATAAATTAAGCAGTATCAATTTTTTTTATCTATCTATCATTAATTTATTAAAGACAAAAATATAAAAAAAATAAATATAATGTATGGGAACATATATTAACGGAAGCTATTTATGTCTTAGAAAAGTTATGCAGTGGTTCTGAAATGAAAGATAGTAATGTACAAAGGGATTATATGAGTGAAAATCGCTTCATTTATTATTAAAACGTATTAAATAAATTTTTTAATTTGCGAAAATTATTGAAATATTGTAATAACGGGGGAGAATTCTTTTCTGAAATATTCCATTCGTTTGTGTGGTGAAAATAGCAATGTAATTCGCGTTCTTTCAAATGTTGAAATGCAACTTAAAACTATTAGGTCCAACGCTGCCATTGATATGCTTAATATTTTCAGTAATTAATTTATCGAAATTTACGAAGTAGTATATACTTTTAGTTGTGTGATACCATTTTTATTATCATTATTATATTATTATTGACGGTTTCACGTACTGAATGCTGTAGAAAGTAAATTAAAAGCAAAAGTAAAGTAAATTGTAAAATTTAATTTCAAATAACAATTAGAAAGGCGTTCTTGCCCTCCCGCTTATTAGTGTAAATAACAGAGAAAAAATCTATCTGCCTTTAACTTTGCCATTTGGTAATGTCAATCGTACTTCTAAATCCAAACTTTTTCTGTCCCTAACCATGCCTCTTCGTGCGACTGCACAGGTTGCAAGTACTGTCGTTTATTACATTGTGAGAACTATACATTTAAACCTGCAATTTCTTCCTTATTTAATGATAGTAAGAGATTCAAGATATGAAAAAAATTAAACGCTACGGAATGACTTGCAAAGTTCATTCCAAATTAAGTATCAGAATCCTGCCTAGTTACTTCTCTGATTTATAATTTTCGAGTTGTGATTGCAAAAAGAGGAACATTTCCTTATTATCATTTATTTAATTATCCGTTTTAATTCTAAAAATAAAAATGAAAAGCAAAAGGGAATTTAAATTTTTTTTTATTGAAACTCCAATTACGAACAATATATGTAAAAAATGAAAAGCAAAAGGGAAAAACATAAAAATAATAATTAATCTTCTTATTATATTTAATTATCCGTATATATGTAAGAAATGAAAAGCAAAAGGGAAAAAACATATAAAAATAATAATTAATTACATTATTATTTATTTATAATTATCGGTTTTAATTCCCATTTAACATTATTATTTATTTATAATTATCGGTTTTAATTCGCATTTACCATTATTATTTATTTATAATTATCGGTTTTAATTCGCATTTACCATTATTATTTATTTATAATTATCGGTTTTAATTCGCATTTAACATTATTATTTATTTATAATTATCGGTTTTAATTCGCATTTAACACTATTATTTATTTACCTACGCTCCGATCAAGTAGGAGACAAACTTCTCAACTTCTAACCACGCAGCAGAAGCGAAGAAAAATGGTCACGTGACCTTCAATATGAGCACACAGAAGTTTTCCCTAAATCCCTCCCGATACTCCGGATTCTACAGTAACCTAAACGTCAGCAGAAAGTTGTCGGGGTGGGTAGCCGGGTTTGGCGGAAATCGCCACCACCGGCCGCCGTAGCGAGGTCGCCAAGAGCCGGTTATCCGAAAACTGCCGCACAAAGAATAAAAGAAAATATAAAAATATTTTTTCACTCACTCTTAAAAATGCAGCCGGTCCGTCACGGACACCAGATATCCCTTTTACCTTCGATATCAGAAGAATTATGATGGAAAAGTATACAATCAATTATCTAATGAAAGACATCTCATCACAACAAACAGTTAATTTACGATTCTATTTACAATCTAATTAAGTGTTAGTTTTAGCTTTGACACCTCAAAGCAATACTCAGAACATAAATGGCATAAAATATTACTCATCAGTTTTTAAATACTCATGAAAAACATCTCAAAAAGTCATTTTTCTCATTACTTCCAACGAAAAGTAAAACTATAGAACAAACTCAAGCCTAGATGTAAAAACTCTCAACTGTTGCCAATCACGATTTACTAAATTACATCAAAATAAAGATAATAATCAGGTAGAGGTTCAACTTCACAGCCACGGAGTACCAGAATCATTTTGTTATTTTAAAGAAAATTCACTGTTTGATTTATAAAACACAAAAATATAAACCTTTTTTCTTCGGTTTATATTTGTATTTTTTTAGTCTTAACTATTATTAAAGATAATTCCATATCATAAGATCTAACAAATGTAAATACTTCTTAATAATAAATATGCAAACAATAATTTGAGGGAATTTCTGTTTTTGAAAACATGGGGAAAAAGTTTTTTTTTTCTTTTCATGTTCACTTTTTACTGTTATGTCTAATACATATTTAAAAACAACATTCCCTTTTTAAATAGAAGAGACTGAATTGTAGAATGGGAAACAAATTCTTCATTCAGTATTTGAAAAATGTAATAAAAATGGGTATTGTTTTTAAGAGGAAAGAAGTCTGCTTTAGTATTTTATTTCTTTGTCTGCATAAAGTTATCTGAGGAGAAGGAAAGAAAAATTTTCACTTTAAATATTATATGTTGTAGTTAATCTTTATTTTTGTTGTAATTTGAAACTAAAATGTTCCACTGCAGAAGAAAGTAACATTTTTCTGAACTTAACATGCTACAAACTGTCCATTTATATTAATTTTTATTTCTTAGCTTTATCCTTATCACCTCCTAGTTACTGGTAATTACCGCCTGCCTCCAGATGTTGACAGGTGTCATTTAGAAGTAAGATCAGTTTGCATTTATATTTATTTATTTTTAAGAGCCATTAGTTTATTTATTTATTTTATTTTAGCCTGAATTTTCTCTTACATGCATCTTTTCTTATAGCGTCACCTTTCAAATGAAGAATTCCAAGCTATATTCCATATGTCTCGATTAGAATTTTATCGTTTACCCGAATGGCGAAGGAATGATTTGAAGAAAAGAGCTAAGCTATTTTAAATTGACATTTTTAGTATGGCAATAAAATTGCCGGAAACTTTGTTGTAAATTTTGAACCAAAAAGAGGTGCTTTTATACTGCTTTTCCCTTGTTACTAGTTTGAAACATTCAGCTGCAATCTAGCAACATTTAAATTAAAACAACCTGGAAGGAAAATATTATTTTTAACTTTAATAAGTGTTAGCTTCCAGAGCTATTGATATTATTTGACAATGAAGATTATGTACTTCATGACAGTCATTTTGTATAAATTGCTTATAATGTGTTTTAAGCTAATAAAATATTCCTTATTTTATAATTGGATTTCATATGTGTGCTGTGATTATCATAAAAATATTTTAGCATAAGTTTGTTTTTATAATTTTATTGTACATATAGCATTCTGTGTTTTATATCTTTTTATAGCTTTCCTAGTTTAGCACATGAGTTCCTGAAATGTTTTCTATTTTGCATTGCTGTAGTCTCATTTCAAAAGCATGTAATGCAGAGATGAAATAATGTGCTATACTGAATCTCTAATTCATGAAATAAAAAATTAATTTTTCTTCTCAGCCAGTGAAACACCTGTGTTTAAAAATGAAAGGCATAAAATAAATTTGATAATTTCTTTAAAAATTAGAAATTGCATATTCTGTTTTTGTAACATTTCCATTTTACATTTTCATAGATATAAAAAATTTATATTCATTTTCATGTTTTGAAAAGCTCTTCTTCTATACTGCTCTTATTTTATTTGCATTTCAAAGCAAAACTATGTTGTGTGAAAGGAGTAGCATGACTGTAGAAAGAACTGCTCAAGACTTAGTGCCTGTTTGTAGCCTTGCAGCTTGGCATGTCTCTTCCTCACTTAGTCATTATGTACTCCGTCCAGTTTCCCTTTCACATAAAGGTGCTGAAAAATTTGGGCAGTTTCTCTTTTTCTGTATTTAAAATTTTAACAAGCCAGTCTTACATAGTGAAATTGAAATTTTCAAAGGTATTATTTGAGTAAGTTAGACAAGAATATGTATTTGATTATATGTATGTATCATGTTCTTGATTCAAAATTAGTATGATAAAAAATCATTTTTAATTTATTAAACGAAAATCACTATTATGATTATATGAAAATTACTTGGAGTAAGAACAAAATTTTATGTATAATTGTGTGCAACTTAAGTCTCATTCATTCAGTACTTTTTAACCTTGAATTGTCATTTCTGAAGAGGGATATTTGTACCATATACTCTATTGTACTGTGTATGTGGTTATTAACTTGTGTGTACTATATTGCTAATATTGATAAACTTGCTGTCATTGGGATGAATACGTTGTTTTCATACGAAAAAAATTGTATAATGAAAGTAGTGTATTTAACTAAAGGATATATAAAATTCAAAAGTATTAATTTATCTTGGTTAGTTTTGCTTTGATTTAAAAAAGTGCAAAATACAAAATTTAATCTCGAGAAAATGATTTTTTATTATCAAAATTTGTAATTTCTGATAAAAAAATCGAAATTTCATTTTTTAATGAGTGACTCGTATCATAATATGATGTATTTAAAAAGTCTTATTTTTAAAAATGTATTAAAACTAATGTAAACCCAAATTTTGGAGTTTGAAATTGCATAAGATGTAGTTTTAAAATTATAAATGTTTTACCTGTTATCCATTTTTTAAGTATTATATTAAATTGCTGCACAATCTCGTAAGTAATTTGAAGTTACTATTTCGATTAATTTTTCAAGCTTCAACAATGTTTAAGTCTCTTATTTATAGAAAATTGATAACACTAAAACTGTAAAAAAACAAATTAAATACATTCAATTAAATAAAAATCTATACTGTGTTTGATTCATATAAAAGGGCTTGACTTAAAATCAGTACTAGATGCATTTTCATTCAATTGATGAATTTACATGCTTTTCTTCGTAGTGATATTGCTTTTTTAGTATGGTTAATTTTTATTGTTCTGTATAAAGTTTGTGGTGTTATTGTAACTTGACTCTATGAACCAAACCCTGTGAAGAATGACTATATTATCACGACTGTATTTAGAAAACATTAAATGCATTCTATTTAAAACTGTATCATTATCATTAAATAAGTTCTACTTTTCCCATGATTTGACGAAAAAAATGTAAATGAATTAATTATGCTGCTTTAATTCAGTTTGATCTAATACTAAACTTTCATGAAACAAAAACAATTCTGTAGAGTAATGAACTTCTTTACTTTTTGACTATAAAAATAGGTATAATTTGAAAGTGAATTATTTCATTAATCCAAAGAGAATGGGTAGCTCTTCTCCATTGAACCTTTTTATTTTATGAAAAGAAACTATTAAATTACATGATGTAAATTAGTTATTCAAAAGACTGTGAACAATTATTAACGCGAACCTAGCATACAGGTATTTAATTACTGCATATTGTATGCATCGTATTTCATCAGTTGCTAGATGCACCATTTAATTTCAGTACCATTAATTGAAAAAAGATTTATTCTAAGAAAACAAAAGAAATAAATATATGTAGCAAGCAAATTTTTAATAATTGTCATTGATTTATTCACAGCAGTAGTGCTGCCATTAAGATGCACACCATTTTTAATGATTTATTTGCAGCAGTAGTACTGCCATTAAGATGCATGTCATTTTTAATGATGCTTGTAGGTAGAAATTGTACATCAAATGCCATATTAGAGCTTAATTTGACAATTTGAAGTACTGGAACCTTGTGAAAGACCATTAGGAAACAAATAAAAATATGAAAATGTAAAAGCGTAGGGACAGGCTAGTAATTAATTTTAAAATAGTTAAATAATTAAAGTACTAGAGCTTTGTTAGGTCATTAAGACTATTTAACTGTAAGATTACGTCATTTTTTCTCTTCTTGGCGCCTTGCATGGCGCAGATGTTCATTACAGCAACCCTGTAAACGCTTACTCAGTTTCTTTTATTGCTGTTGTTATTAGTAGTAAGTCATCGTTTGAAAGATGGCATGCATTTGATTAAAGTTGTTGAATAAAATATTTAGTACAGTCCACTTCTAGTTAATTTGGAATTGTTGTGTATAACAACGCACGCATCGCATGAACACTTTATGGCCCGCCGAGCCACAGGTAAAAGATATCGTTGCTAAAATTAATCTTTTAGAACATTATTGGAATACTTTTGTTTGGTTGTATTACGCATAACTTCATATAGAGTGTTTGGAATGCTTTCGTTTTCGTGTGGATTACGCAATTAAGATTGGATACTGTGTCATCGTTCATTTCCGGTGTTGCTGTCGAGAAATCTGCAATCACGGTAAGTGATAAATTATTTATTTGTTCATGATGAGTGAATTGAAAGCGATTAAAGCTAACAAAAAAGTTTAAAATGCAGTATCAGAAAGTTTGAAAATAAGGTAAATTCTACAGTGGATGAAGCAGATATTTCCTTATTGGAGTTATACGAATCAAAAATATTAGAATTTAAAAAGGAATTAAGTAACATTTTCGATTCTTTATTTGCACATTGTGAAGAAAAGGACACTGACGAATTCATTAAGGAAAAGGAAAATGTAGTAGATAATCTCGATGAAATTCATTTGAAAATTAAAAGAAAAATTTCTGAGATCAGTTCTCAAAGGAATAGCTGTTCAAATGAAAACGGTTCGAGTAAAGACATAATTGTTTCGGATATAAAATTGCCTAAATTGTCTCTTCCAATATTTAGTGGGAAAATCGAAGAATGGATTGAATTTGAGGATTTATTTTCCGCAGCTGTGCATAAAAATAGCAAATTAACTAATGCGCAAAAATTGCAATATTTAAAGAGTTCGTGTAAGGCAGACGCTTTAAATATTATTCAGTCCATTCCAATTTCAGATTCGAATTATGACATAGCATGGAATCTGTTGGTTGATCGCTATTGCAACAAAAAAGATTTGATCAATTCTATCATAAAGAAATTAATTTCTATACCTCAAACGAGTGATTCTACTTCGTCGCTTTTAAAATTTATCGATAAGGTGCATGAATGTTTACGATCCTTGGAAGCATTGGAGCAAAAGGTGGAAGAATTTTCAGACACGTTAATTGTTTATTTATTAGTTGAAAAGTTGGATAGAAATACTCGGTGTTGGTGGGAAAGGTCACTTAAAAAAGACGAGAATAGGAACGTTTTAAACAACTGACATGTTTTTTGAAGGAACACGCTCGCACCCTATCACATTACAAACCTCCGCATGGGGAATCGAAACGTTCATTTAATACCAAAGCTCTTACATCACTTTCGGAAAATTCAAAAAAATTGTCCTTATTGTAAAGCTGATCATTTATTGTTGAAATGTGCGCAATTCTTAAATCTAACAGTCAAGAAACGATTTGAATTTGTAAAGACAAAAAAAACTATGTTTCAATTGTTTATCTTCGGTCCACACAATCAAGGACTGTAAAAGTTCTAATACATGCAGAAAATGTCAGAAATTTCACAATTCGCTCTTACATTTTGATCGAAATGAAGAAAATTTCGATAAAGCAAATGGCACATCGAATCAAATCACAAACAAGACTAATAAATTAAGCAGTAATCTTTCTCCAAATGCTGATACATTTACTCCAATGGCAAGCAGCCAAAAGGGTTAGTGACACTAATGAAACCAACCAAGCAAAGTCCATTAACGGTACTGCGCTGAATATTTCCAGTTCTTTTAATAAACAAGTTCTACTTTCAACTGCAATTATTTTCGTTAAGGGTAATGATGGAAAATTTATCTCGCTGAGAGCCTTGCTGGATTCCGGTTCTCAAAATAATTTCATTACTAAAGAAGGTGCTGAGTTATTGAATTTGAAGAAAAGAAAAATAAACGCTTCTATTTCAGGTATCAATGGTACAGTTATGGGTGTTAAGGAAAAAGCTATAGCAACCATCGCTAACGCTACTAGAGATTTTATTCGTACCTTACAATTTTTTGTTGTTCCAAAAATAACTCGCGTAACGCCTGCTAGATATATAAACATTCCTGATGTTAAGCAGTTGCAACTCATTGGTTTAGCTGATCCAGAGTTTTATAAACCTGGTCAAATACATGTTTTATTATCTAACGAAATATTTTTTGATTTACTGGGAACAAATAGAATAAATATGCAAGACCTGATTCTCCATCAGTCAGTTTTTGGATACATCGTTAGCGGGTCAGTACGCATGCCGCAGCAAGGCAGTGTTGATAATTTTTGTGGGTTTGTGGAAAATGGGGATAATTTATCTGACAACATGAGAAGGTTTTGGGAGATTGAAGGTATTAATGAAGCAAAAAAAGTGAAAAGTCAGGAAGAGGAATTTTGTGAACAGCACTTTCTTCGTACACACACGAGGCAAGATGATGGCAGATATGTAGTGGAAATGCCAATTAAGGAGGAAGGACTTAGCCTTTTAGGGAATCGAGAGAAAACGCTAGCAAAAGACTGAATTATCTACTTAAACGCTTCACTCGCAATCCCGCAATGAAACACTTATACGAAGATTTCATTAAGGAATATAATAAATTAGGCCATTCCGAAGAAATTGATGAAGGGATAGCTCTAGTTTCTCATATTATCTTCCTCACCATGGGGTTTTCAGGCCCGAGAAACCTAGCACTAAACTTAGGGTAGTGTTCGATGCCACTGCTCCTACGACTACTGGAATTTCGTTAAACGATATTCTGCTGAATGGAGGGTTAGTTCAAGACGAACTATTTGATATTATTTGCAGATTTCGAACGCATAAAATTGCCTTCACAGCAGACATTGTAAAAATGTATCGTCAGATTTTGATTAAAGAACATCAAAGAGATTTATTACGCATCTTATGGAAGAGTAGTGAAGAAGAACCAGTTAAGGTCTATAGACTGAAGACTATAACTTACGGTACTTCCAACGCACCATATCTAGCAACACGCACACTTAATCAATTAGCAGAAGACGAGAAAAACAATTTTTCGTTAGCAGCGCCAAGGTTAGAATTTTTTCCTCCACTATCAGGGATTTATTTGTAACGTTACGATGAAACGTACGTGTTTTTAAGCTGTTCCGTGCATGTATTTTCCACTAAATATGTAAAATTATAATGAAATGCTTCGCTATTGTTAGTTTTTTGTTTAAAGTTATAAAGATGATATCCGTAATTTACTACGTACAGAACATCATTAAGAAATACTTCGAAATCTAATGCATGTGCATAACATTAAAGCCTTTAAAAATAATGTTTTTGCATATTTCAAGAATTTGTTTAGGTTTTATTAGCAACCTGTTGGGTGGTACTTTCAAATTTTTTCTTAAGAAGTGATATTTCTGATTTATTCACAATATTGTAATTTATTAAAGAATCATTTAAAATAATTTTAACCTGAAATTAATAGCAAATAATTTTCTAAAAAAATAGTCACAAGTTGCATTTTTTTAAATGAAAGTTTAAATAGATTCTTTTCACAACACCAACAACCTTATAACAACAAGAAAATAAATATTAATAAAATAAAACAGATTTATGTGAATTCAGTGATTTCAGTTTATGCGCGTTCATATTTATGAATCTCAAAGAAATTGCCTTTAATAAGCTGAATTACAGAAATATACCTATACCTATATTTTTGGATACATCTTTCCCACATGTTCAGTTGTGTAAATATTTTACTTACTTTTATCGCTATACTGCCCACAAATTTGTAAATTTATGCAAAAAAAACATTTTTTAACAACAGAAAAGTTAGTTTATCTTGATCAAATGCACAAATTATATTCCTAACAGTTCACAAAACTTAAAAATTAATAATAATTAATACATAAAGAAAAGCATTACTTTGTTTAACACCTTTACAATTCATAAAAATAGTAACAATTGGTGTCTTACTTTTCATGAAAATTATCAAACGAATTACCTAAAACGTTCAAATTATACAGTTTAAATTCTAGCATACATCATTTTATGTTAAGGAACAAAGATGCCAGAGATGCCAGCTATAAACAGAAACATTAAAATGTATTTAACATATTTTGATTATTATTAAGTCCTTTTTTTCACATCTGGAAAGAAAACAACATGACGTGATATTTTTTAC